GGAGGTACAGGCATAAAATTAGCAACACAGCCTAGAGGAAGAATTTAGACAGATCTGCAACAAAAGCCTGAGATGCTGGATTTTTTTAATGTTTGGCTTTTACAAATGTTGGTCAAATTTCTGTAGAAAACAAAGAGAGTGTGTATTTTTCAAATGAGAACAGTATACGGGTTTTTAACTGCAGCATCACAGTGGGAAGGAAGGAGAGCAGAGGGAAATAAGGGAGGGAGGAGAAAAAAAGTAGTAACAAATAAAGGTTTTCAGAGGAATTATGGTTCAATTCCTGGTAGGTCTGATTGTAGGCATGTTAAGCGAGCCTGGCTGAGGGGAAAGTTGAGTAATTTATCTGCAGCAGTTACAAATGGATCTTACCGAGCAGAAGGTACCAGTGTTCTCAAAGAAAACAAAGTGCATCCAAAAAGCTAAATCTAGTTTGGCCTTGCTTGTGTGTACCTTTAGGTAAAGGATGACTTGCTTTAATTGACTTTAATGAGCTGTTGCTACATTCTCCTGCAAGAAAGAATTTACAGAGGCCAAACACCGATGAGAAGCAGTGAATTTTTTAAGCCACCAACGCCACCTGAAGTGCTCAGACAATGTGGTTCTCAAAGAAATGACAGACTGCAAATTTTGTCAGCTGAGAGACACTGAAGAGGAATAGGAAGGGATAAGGCGGCACTGCTTGCTCTGTGAGTGAACAGTAACAATTTAAAACTGTCATAATACAAAGATTGCTTGTCACAGCACAAGCAAGTCTCCTCTCACAAGTGCCAAGCTGAGCTAATTGAATTAAACCTATCTGAAGCAGTGATCTGTAACAGGACCATAGTGTGTAAATCATTCCAGAATAAAATGTCTAAATTGTGTGCAATAGGAGATACACGACAGTTTTAATTAAGTTTGGATACTACTAAAAAAAATTGGACAGGCCGATAGTCTTATCCTGTTGGGAGTAGGACCAAGACATTTCACTGAACAGAGAAGTTTAATTTACTGCTTAAAAAAAAAAAATAACAATCCTACATACAGTGCAAGAAGGTATACAGATAGGCTGAAGAGTTCTAGAATAAAACTGCTGGACTGTGTTAAAATCAACTGGATGTATAGCAGCAAAAGCCACACTAAGCTTTCTTATGTATCATCTTGAGTCTTGATCTAACATGTGTCTGGGCAGTCGTTTAACCAAGAATGTAAATAACTTTCATCCCTTGTATACAAGTAGGCTGATGGCACATTTTACTGTTTTTAAAGCTTTATTGTTTGAAGCTTTTGTGGACCAAGGTCTATACTAGGAATTGGAGAACAGGAAGATGAAGAAAAGGGTAGTCCCAACAAGGGTTGTTATCAGAGCACTGAAAAGGGGACTGCCCGGCCATTTCAGGAATTGTAATCCCAGCCAGTCTTTACAAATATCAGTTTAGAAACTCAGAATCATCCCGAGACTCCAGCCTGACCATCTGTGACTAACGACAGTAATGATTTAGATAAGTAATTTTAATCTCTAAATCCACCATTAACATCCTTTTCATCAGTTTCTCCAGGGTTGATGTTCTATTTTTAATGTTACCATTCTGAGATCTATATTCACATACTGTGAGATGCTGGATCACACTGTTTTGCTTTTCAAAAGCATCGCATCTGTTCCAGCCTCCCCAAACAATTACTTTAGTTAGTGTGAGAGACAGATGGAGGACTTACCTCGATAATCAACTCCAGAATTTAATTTTACAACAACTGGCCTTCCAATGATTTGTTTTAGGAAGTCACTAGGGGTTTGCTTCCGTAGACTCATCTTGATCTCCGGTAAGCTGGGAAGAGAAGTGAGAGAAAACATTTGGATAAGCAACATGCTCGCATACGGTCTTTAAACACCCAGTACAGACAGGCAGTCCCCTGATTCTTAATATTTTCAGTAGGAGAAAATATCAAAGGAGATAAAAGCAAAACCTTAAGGGTGGAGGTGCAGAGACAGAGCTCCTAGAGCCATAGCATTAAACTCTCCCTTTGGCATTTTTATACCTTCTGCAATTATGACTAAGAATCCTTCTTTGCTATGGTGTGCATCTTGTAAACTTCCAACAGAGCCAAGGGCCTTTCGCTAAAGTGGTTTTACTAAAATCAGAGAGCTAAGCCATGGGAAGTGGTTTACATCTTTAGGGGTGGGGGGAGAAGGCAGTACATGCTCTATACACAGAAGCCTCTGCTGGAACAGCAAGAGGAGGATTTTTTAAATCCTCCTCTTTTTTAAATCTCAGCTCATAAATACGAGCAAAGAACACCTTTGAAAGGACGCCTTCGAATGACTCGGTTAAGACAGACCAAGTTCAGAACTAAGGCTTGTGATGCAGTGGTACAGAGGCCTGTGCAGATGTTGTGATTTAAACCCTGGGGGTGCAGCGCACCGCCCCAGCTCGGGGCGATGCCCCTCGGTCAGCGCCGCCCGACTCCTGCCCC